GGTTGTTAACCTTTGTCATAGAGCGGTATGTGTACTAATTGTTTAATGAGAAACTATTTGTTCTGCAAACCTTCATCTAAGGTACCAAAAACAAAAAACAAAAAAACAAAAAATAATTATCTATGTGAGATCAAATTGATAATAGCAACTCAAAAGGTTTGATGGGAAGTCTAGGGGACAGTGAGTTGAAGATAATGGTGATAGAATAATTTGGAAAAGGATAGTGAGATTAGCAGCACAACTGGAAGAATGTAATCAATGTCACTGAATTGTTCATGTAGAAACTTTCAAAATGATGTAACTTTGGCTGTGTATATTTTCACCAAAAAAAAGGTCCTCAAAGTCAAGAAGGGAGAGTGTTAACATGTCATGGGGTTGTTAACCAACGCCATAAAACAATATGTGTACTGACTGTTTAATGAGAAACTGTTTGTTCTGTAAACCTTCATCTAAAGTACAATAAAAAAATTAAAAAAACAAAGAGTATGCCAATTTATGTTTAAGATGTAGGATTAGTTTGCAGCTTGCTATTCCACAGACATTGATCAGCAATAAAACGTAATATTTCATACCAGTTAATCAAGCTCAGCCAGTATTTATTGATACCTCTGAATAAGATATTAGGCTTAATTTAAATAAAACAATAATAATTCTGACTTGGTAGGATCCTAGTGTTAACTACTCTTCTGGTTAGACATTAGAGGAAGTACCTGAAGTTTAAAGTGTTAGCGAACCTGGGTAAAAAAGGCCCATGTAATATATATTACTTATGATATATACTTGGATATGTCATAAGAAAGATTAATGACAAATTGTTGATTTATATTTTACTAATGATTCAGTAAGGCTGATAGGTACTCATTTGATCAGAGATACAACTTTATATTTTACAAATAAGTGATTTTCACACTAGAAATTTGAGGTCAGCCACTTCTTTAGCTGATACCTCTGAATAAGATGTAAGGCTGAACTAAAGTCAAAGACAAAAAATTGTATTTAGTTATTAGGGTCTTAGTGTTCACCTAGGTTATTTCATAAATTTACTGATATTCTTTCCTGACTTAGATATTAGATGCTGGTAACATTACACAGTACAAATAATCAGTAAGTTAGCTGTAAAATATGCATTTTTTTCCTCTGTCATAAGTCTTCCTGATAAATAAAGAAGGATGAATACATATCACGTACATATGGAAGATGACCACAAAAATTGAGCTAAAGAACAAATGAAATTCTGAATTGCTTGAGTGAGAATAAAAGGAAATAGGATGGATGATCCCACCAATCTTTCCTCTTTACCCTTTAAAAGAAAATGCTTTATAGGAGAAGTTTCAGATACTTCTTTGTTTACTTAAACGTGGAGAAATTGAATAAAAACCCTTCTCACATTGCCTTTCTGTGGTGTGTGAATTTGAATAAGGCTCTTTGGAGCATGCAAAATTCTACTTTTTAGACCTAGGTATTTAATTTGGCCATGTTTCCTTTGGTATTATTTTACCTTTTAAGTGTTGAGGTAAAAGATATAACTGTTAAAAGAAATAACTTGATTTGTTCAACATTGCAGGATCCTGCCTTCAACATAGCTTGTGATTGTATATAATTTTATTGTTATAAAAAGGTTTCCATATCTGTTTCTCCTTTGATTTACACCATAACCCTTTGAAGCTGGCAGCAACGATGTAGTCTTTAAACTCAATTTTAACAGTATCTGAGAGAGAGAGATATTATTTTGTTTACCCAAGGTAACCAAGCTGGTAAGCAGTAGAGAATTGGGACTTCAAACCAGATCTTCTGGTTTTTAACTGCTTTTGTTATTATTCATAGGTATTAAATCCTCATTACCTCAAGGTAGTTACTTAATTATTTCAGAATGGAAGACCCTATATAACAATTCTTGCATAGGGGAGAGATTGTAGTAGCATATGAACTGGAGAACCTTGAAGTTTCCTTCTGACTTGCATATTCTCTTTTTCAGAGGTGATTTGCCAGAAGCGTTTTCAATTATAAAGGGTTTTATTTTTACTTGGGTCAAGTACTAATATTTGTATGGTGCTTTACTTTATATTGGAGCCCTGGTGGCACAGTGGTTAAGAGCTACAGCTGCTAACCAAAGGGTTGGCAGTTTGAATCCACCAGCCACTCCTTGGAAACCGTATGGGGCAGTTCTACTCTGTCCTGTGGGGTTGCTAGGAGTCAGAACTGACTCTAAGGCAACAGGTTTTTTTTTGGTTTTACTTTATATTGCGTGGTTTCTTTTCTGTGAACCCATTTAATGCTCTCAACTATCTTGGGTAGTGGAGATTATTATTACCACAATATCATCTACTGAAGAGAAAAATGAGATTAAATAACTTTTCCAGGGTCACATAGTAGATTCCAGAGCTGGGACTCAAATTCAAGTCTCCTAAATTCAGATCTTATAAAATAACACTGTAGATTTTAAACAGAAATGTTAAGATGATTTATTCTTATTTTTTATGAATCTTAATCATTAGAAAAATTAGGACTTTTTGAACCTTTCTTAACATACATATTCTCAACATATTCTATAATATATTCTCAATTCTTACATTATGATTTCATAACATTTATCACCTATGTTCAGTATTGTGTGTTTGTGCCATATTAGGGACAATGTGTTTAACCATTCACTATAATTTTGTGTTGTATCGTGTATTTTTCTAGTGAACTATCAGAGTTCTAACCTCCCTTCTATTCCAGCTCCCTTCTACTTTTCTCATTTGGTTACTTCCATTTAGAGTCTGATTTTATGAAATATTTAAATTTAGCTCTTCCTGTTACATTCACCCTCCTCCTTGGTGATTTGTTATATATGACAAGCAACTTTAGAATATAGTGTAATTGTATGTTTGTATCTGTATGTATCATTTAGTGAGTTATTAGAATTTGCTTCTTAAATGTATCTAAATGAAAATAAAGGTTTTTTTTTTTGAGAATTATTGTTTCTGATTGTTTGATACAAAGTTCAATATAATGTGTACTCATAACTGTTTAGTAATTCATCCTGAGATTGAATATTGCAGTTCAGGATTTTTACTTTGAAAATTGGTGGGGATTGAGTGCAAAATCCTGTAGGTAGTGTGTATTGAGGGTATATTGACATTGTGACAATGGTGAAATTTATCTTCTTAAATGAATTTCTCTCTTGAAATAATTTCTTAGGCTTGGTGGAGAAAAATGAGGGAGTATAGAAATATGAACAATACACATTCAAAGTACAACGTGTGCCATGGCTGAAAAATTTATTAAACTTTTCCAATCTTGAGCTTATTCAGGATCTTTAGTGAGCCTTCTGCCTTCTCATTTATATGCAGCATCAATCCCTTATTCCAGTTCTTTAGAGAATGATGTATAAATGCCCTGAATGTCTCCTGGTAATGTGATCATTTCATTTCTTTTTTTTTTTGTAAACAGGGAGTTTGCTTGTAACCCTGACGTTTCCTTCAGGTTCAATGTCAAAAGAGGCCTATCTGGAAAGATCTTTCCCTTTTAAACATGGGAGGAAGTATCCTCTTTATTTACTTTACTTAATCTATTCAGTTAAAGAAATAAGAAATTTTGCCCAGATGAATTCAATTAAAGTAGTTTCCATTGCTTAGTCAGTGCTCTCTCTGTGCTTGTGGTGGTTGGTATTTTCCAGGTAAGTAAAAGAGCCACATGTTGAGTAGGTAAACTCCTGGTATAGTTTCATAATTGTCTGTTTAATAAAATCTGTGTTGTTCAGCGTATTTTCTTTTCTGTTTTTTTTTTTTCTTCCTAGGGACATAGTTCTCAAACTACTTCAATATGAGGCATCAACAAATGTAGCAGATAATAAAGGTTATTTTCCTATTCACCTGGCTGCCTGGAAAGGAGATGTGGAAATTGTGAAGATTCTTATTCACCATGGACCATCACATTCCAGAGTCAATGAACAGGTGCCCTTGTCAAATATTTGCTCATGCTATAATTCTTCTAGAGTTCACAAAGCCAAAGGCATGTTGAAAAATTGATTATTTCGATCTTTACCCTGCCCAGAACCTTTCCACTGCTGAATTTCTTAAAGGAGAAGTTTGAAAAGTTATTTGGCATTTGGATATGATGCACAGGCACTAAGATGGAGCATTTATAATGCTATTTTGGTAAAAAAGAAAATCCCACATAAAGGAAGTAGTTGTAATATTTTTGCGTGCATTATATAAGGATTCATTTTATAGCTGTTGAATATTTAAAGATAGAACAGAATACACATTTGTAATGCAAATTAGTTTTTCTTAAAATTTTAAATACTGAAACAATGATAGCTATCATTTGTAAAATGCTTTTCCATTTACATGGCACTTTCACTATAAGTACAATTTTGTGAATCAAAATGCAAAGTACAGTGTATACTGTTGCTGGTCACATATTTAATTAGAAATTTCCTGCATGTGTTTATATGTACACATGTCTACAGTAAGTTGAGTAAAACACAGCAGCTGTATGATACTGACAGAAAAAGTCAAAATCTTTTCAAGTATGAGTTGAAAATGACACGTGCTATCCATATTACGCGTAAAGGAAACATTAAAAAGGAATGCCACTTTCAGTATTCTAAGTGAGTAAGACCGGAGATTCAGGAAAGTAAAGTATGGTCCTTTAATGCAGTATGATAACAAACATCTTGAGCTCTGCATGCCCCCTACTGTTTCCATTTTGTAAAACTATATTTGAAAACCAGCATGCAGTCCAACAATTGAATTACAACCGTGGCATAAAGCTGTAGGTTGGCAGTTGTCCTGTATCAATGCAAGTAGGTTACTATAGGGCAAGCTCATCTAATAAAATACAATTAGCATATTGTTCAAATGGATATAGACTGTGCCGGCCTTTGAAACTCAGATTAAAGACTAAAAAGCAACACTAGCTGTAAACAGCAAAGGGAAGAAAAATACTTTCAACAAAATGGAACTGTAGAAAGGGACTAATCAGAAAAGCATTTTATTAATTGGAAAAGTATCTTCTTAATATTTATCACAATAAAGATTGCTATACTTACAGGTTACCAAAAAATGCAGATTTTTTTTTTTATGGCAATGCACTCAGAAATTCAATCTTCTGATAGTTGGCTATCTTTATTTTTGTATCATACTAAAAATTTGATAGTTATGGCTATCTTTATTTTTATATCATACTAAAAGGAAAATTAATGAGAATGTTCCTCTGTTCCTCAGAAAACCAAAAGGTAGAACATCATTTATGAAATGAGCCATCTGGTGGTTATTCTTAAAATTGACTAATGCCACAGAGCAAGCCTGAAATAATAAAAAGGAAAAAACAATCCAAGGTTAAACAAGAGGATGTTAGCTTTTGGAAGTAAAATGGTTTTTAAATGATATGAGAATAAGAAAAAACAGGTAGTACTCATTTATATTTGAAAGATGAGGATTTTAAATGGTATGTAATTTTAACAGTATGTTTTAAAGAGACACGCTTGTTTTCTGTCATGTTGAACAGAGCATTAAAATACAAAAAGAATGTCTTTTTAAGGAGATTGGAATTAAAAGTTCTTTTTTCACTTCTACTGTTGTGGTTTCTATTGGCAACAAGTTTTCAGTTTCTTGTGGTTTTAATGCCATGCTTTCCGTACTTTTGTTCATTCATATTTTGTGTATCTACCTTTAGTGCTAACATAGTTCTCTCATGCGAGGTCATTTTTCCTAAATGTTTTGGACGTGGGAATTTTATTTTTATGATTAACTCTTGATTTTAGCTTTTTTCCTCTCTAAATGGGACACGGATTCTCTAGCTAATTATAATCCTATATCTATTTAAACAATAGAAGGAAGGAATGAAAATGGTAATGAACATTTCTTGACACCTAAGATAAGCCAAGCACTGTGTTAAGCAAGTTCACCTGCAGTATGTTATTTGGTTTAACTCTCACAACCATCCTCTAAAATAATATTAGCACTCCCATTTTATAGATGAAAAATGGGGCTCAGAAAAGCTAAATAACTTCTTTAAGGCCACACGTTCCTGGATGACTAAAACCAAAACTTGGTACCAGGTCTCTCTGACTCCAGAGCCCACAGCAGCACATTATTATTTTCACCATAAATCTTACCACTATGGAGTATTTACTGTATGTCAGGCTTTGTGAGATTAGGTATATGGCATGACTAAGCCCTACAGGAGCCTGAGTAGGTAGGTATTAAGGTTCCTATTTTATATATGGGGAAACAGTTTTAGAGAGATTAAGTAATTTGCCTAAGATATCACAGCTACAAAGTGACGCAGCCAGTATTTGAATCCAGGTTTTTCTGATCCACAACCCAAGATTTTAACCAGCTATGCACTGTGTTATGATGATAAAATTACATCTATATCACAATCAGGGCTTCATTTTGATACCTGAAAGTGATCCTTGGTTTCTAATATCACTTTAAAGTTTACAAAACATTTTGTTATTATCTCTTTTGATACATAAATTATACTGTATAGGGAAGGTAATATTCTCATTTTACAGATAATAAAAGTTAGGCTCAGAGAGATTTAGTGATTACTATTGCTAGTAAGTAGCATGTTAGTACTTCAACCCGGGTCCTGTTCACCATTCCATACTGCTGTAGAATTAGGGTGACATTGGTGACAGTTTAGGGTGACATAATTTTAAAAAAACAGAGCGGACTCTATGCCCTGATTATGATTTTTATAATTGCCACATCCTTCCTGTCTTTCATCAATGGATTTATAATTTTCTTTCTTCTTATGTTGTGTATATTTTAAATTTATATTTCTCTGCACATTTATCTTTTTCCTTTTTTTTACCTACTGTCTCTCTTTCTCTCTTTTTTTCTTTTGACATTAGGGCAAAAACCAGAGAAGCCATATCTCCTAAGTACATTCCCTCTGCCATTCACAAAACTTGAACCCAACTAGTGTTAGGTAGTTTCCATTAGTTTTGCTTTGAAGCAAGATCTTTTGATAAATAGTTTTTGTCAGCCAATTTAGTTCTGCCACCCATTGCCTGGAAGTATCTTAATTTTTCAGAGAATACTCATTTGGTAAAAAAAAAAAAAAAAAAAGGCATGTAAACCCTTTTAGAAATGTTCTTGGTTGACTGGGTAGCAATTATTAATTAGTGTTTAATCACAGCTTATTTATTTCAAAGTATAGTTTTTTTTTTTTTAAGATCACTAGTGAGTATGAACACAAGTACACAATCATACCTTTTGTAAAGGTGCCACATTTGTGCTCTTCACTGATGTGACATTCCAAGTATGTGTTTATCATGGGTAAAATCTGTGAACATTTTCTCCTGAGTAGGTCTTGAATGATTGAAATAATTTCTCTTGAGATCTGAGTAGTGCTAATTGGTATTATTAGAAAAAGCTTCAATTTTGCTCTTATAATTTCCTAGAGTAAAGGCTCTGGAAAAGTGGAGAGGCCTTTGAGGAGTCATTATTTCCTAATTGGTCTATCTCAAAATGAGATTGAATCTCTTTCAGACCAAAGGGAAATTTGCTTTGGTCAGGCAGCATATTTCTATATTATACTTTTAGGGCTTAAAGTATTAAGACTGATTTTCTTCTCAGGTTTATAAAATTTATCTAGATAAGAGAACTAGGGAGTCTAAACCTGTATGTGGTCAGTGTCTATGAGGAAGCAGACTAGAGTAACCCATTCAAACAATGTATAGGAACAGCTCCCCAGACATAGTTAAAGCAGTGATACCTCCAGTTAGTGAGTCCATCTGTCAGCTCTTAACTTTTCATTGACTGCCTCCAAGGAGTAGGTTTTTCCTCTGGAGCTGGCTTTCAAATGCCCTCTCCTGATACTCATTTAAAAAGAAAAGTGAAACCTGTGAGAGCTGGAACTCAATGAGACTGCTTTGTTTTTCTGGGTCTCTCAGGCTTTCCGCCTTTGACAGGGTGCAGTCTTACCACTTTTCTATTGCTCGTGAAAGCCGGAGCCTGTGTAAGGCAGACACCTGTTGGAGAAGGAAAACTCAAATATTTTCCACTAACAGAGAGCAAGTCTTAGTGGAAAATATCTGAGTTTTCTTTTTCTGACAGGTTTCCACCTTAACACAGGTTCCACCTTTTGCAGGTTTTACTGTAATAAGTCTTTCCTAGTGCTTTTTTTTCTCCCTTGCCACTCCTCTTTTTAAGCTTTCAAATCTTCCCTTTAGACTTTCAACTTATTTATCTGCGTTCTTGTACCATCCAGAGTAAGACTGAGTTACTTTCTGTAAGATTAAAATTTATTTGGGTTTGGACCCTCCTTGACCTTGGGTTCTGGTCAGAATAGCTATCTAAGCAGCTACTTCCTGTTCCATCTTCTGGGCACGACCCTTCGAAGTTCTGTTTTCAGATCGCTGATTTCCTGATCTTCTTTGACAAAACAGCAACACAGGGAAGGCAGTGTGGTATGATGGAAAGAGCATGAGTGGGTTTGGATTTTGACAGTCATGGGTTCTCCAAAAGATCCTAACTCTGCCTGGGCATGTAATTTAACCTTTATGTATTTCAATTTTCTCAGCCATGAAATGGAGATAACTTTGTAGGATCATTATAAGAGTTAAATGGGACAACATTTGTGGTTTTTAGGCACTAGCAAATGGTAGTAGCAATAGTTGTTACTGAGGAATGCAATGTGTATGATCATTTAAGAACACTGACCTGGGGTCTAGACTAAATGGGTTCAAATCCTGACTCTACCACTAAATCGTTGTATAATTGAAAGCAGTTATTCAACTACTCAGAGCCTCAGTTTCCTCATTTGTAAAATGGAGATGATGATAATCGTACCTATCTTATAGTGTTGTTGTGAGAATTTAATGAGTGACATGCAGCTCTCTCTGAGACATAGCTATGATAACTCTGATGATAATAAACACCTTTTCCTCCAGACCCTGCGTTCAGAATTACTGCATTTTTGTTGCTAAAAATTCTTTTTTGTTCACATTTCTCCTGGCTTACCCTTCCACCTCATGACATACCCATACCCCATCGACCTACACAGTTCTGCCCAAATGTCTAAAATATCCATCAGCTTTGCATCTGGGTTCAGTTTTCTCCATCTTAACAATTTCGATCTGCTGAGGACATCTCACTAATTTACAACTGCAGCACTTGTAAGACTGTCTGCCTGTAGTACTGTGATACTTCTGGTAGCTTATCTGGGAAGGGGTATAAATCCTCTCAATCCATAATAATGTTTCAAAAAGATACTCTTGTATCTTTGTGACAGCAATTCTTCATTCTCTTTGCAAAAGAAGCAATGATTTGTATTTATATGAAAAATAAAATGAAACTTAATTTGCAAATCTATCATTATCAAGAGTTTACCGTCTCAGCTGTCTTTTGAAAAGCCAGTCTGTTAAAAGTGTGTTCTAATTGTTATTAATCTCCCTTACCAACAAATGTCAGAGAGGTGTGATGCACAGTGCAATAGCAGTGATCATCTGGGCCCAGCAGGAACACCGACGAAGACGGCTAAATCATTTATCACTCTTGGAAACTGTAATTTATAATGGAGGGAAAAGATAGATTTTTCCCTATTGAAGTGATAATGGTAAAATGTGGTATTTTTGATGCTAGAAGAGATGAATACTTTTATCAAACATACAAACAATGAAGCGCTAAGATAGGTAAACTAAGACATTTTCAAAGAATCTCAGGTTTTAACTCACTGTATTTAGATCATGATAACTAAGTCAATTTCTGAAAACTTGCATTTTGTATCTTTTTCTTAAACAGAACAATGAAAACGAAACTGCGCTGCACTGCGCCGCTCAGTATGGACACTCAGAAGTAGTTGCTGTGCTCCTGGAGGAACTCACCGACCCTACAATCAGGAACAGCAAGCTAGAAACACCTTTGGACCTGGCAGCACTCTATGGACGGCTTAGAGTGGTCAAAATGATCGTCAGTGCTCACCCTAACTTAATGAGCTGCAACACTCGCAAACACACCCCTCTACACCTCGCTGCACGCAATGGGCACAAAGCAGTCGTACAGGTGCTGTTGGAAGCAGGGATGGATGTAAGCTGTCAGGTAAGTCTTCTGTTAGCCATGTCATAAAAGTTATGATGCTCAGGCTTTACTTTGTGATAAAACCAAACCAAACCTGTTGGCTGTTGAGTTAATTCTGACTCATAGTGACCCTGTAGAACAGAGTAGAACTGCCCGCATAGGATTTCCAAGGAGCGGCTGGTGGATTCAAACTGCTGACCTTTTGGTTAGTAGCTTGAGCTCTTAACCACTGTAGCACCAGGGCTCCTGCTTTGTGATACAGATGTTAAAACCTATATGTAGAATTCTGGCCATTTTTCAATCAGCCGAACAGCCTGCAAGCATTTTTGAAACTACTAAATTCAAGGTACTGTGCCACATGCTGTTAGAAAATATGAAAATATATAGGCGTGGTTTCTAACCTTATTTTAGTTTGAAGGCTGCCCACATGAAGAATTATTGATAGATGGCAGTTGTGTGTAGCATCATTAGTAATTGTTTCCTTTCTTCCAGTACCCAGCACACAGCCTGACATACTCTAGGAACCCAGTCAATGTTGAATGAATGAAAAAATTGCACTTTAATCATTTTGAGCATGTATTTTGTGTTTAGCACATTGATGCGTTTAGAATTCAGTTCAGTTCTCACGGCTGTCCTATGGGATTGAGAGCTATTAATTTCCAGTTAGCAGATGAGGAATCAGATTCAAAACAGAAGAAACTTGCCTAAGGACACATAGCTGATAAACCCAGAATTCAGAGTTAGAGTTTTTAATTCAAGTCCAGACCTCTTTCCCCTGTAATGTGCTGTCTATACACAACTCATGAAGGAGCAATCTCTGTGCTCAAGGGCAGTCAAAAGAAATTTTGTTGAAGAGGTGTATTTTGAGTTCAGCCTCAAAGGAAGGACAGCATTTGGATAAGTTTTGTTTCTCCACAAGGAAAGAGCAGCCTCATTTACAAAATGTCTTAAGTTAGCCCCAACTCCAGAGTTGGTTCATTTTTTTCTTTTTCTTTTTAACAGTTTTCTTCTTTCATGATTGTTTCTTGACACTCACATTGGTGGCAGTATTCTCATCCTCCGGAGACCCTTTTTTTCCTGGCCAATTTGACCTTTCCCCCTACATATCAGTAAGCTAAAGAGCCCTGGTGGTGCAGTTGTTAAGCACTTGGCTGCTAACCGAAAGGTTGACTATTCAAACCCACCAAGTGATCCACAGGAGAAAGGCCTGGCAGTCCGCTCCTGTAAAGATTACAGCTGAGAAAACCCTATGGGGCAGTTTGTTCTGTCACATGGGATCACTGTGAATTGAAATTGACTTGATGGCACCTAACAACACCAACATCAGTAAGCTATTGCTGCATAACAAATTGTCCCAAAATTTAACGGCTTAAAACAATAACTGTTTATTTAGCTTGTAATTTTGGGGTGGGCAATGTAGTCTGGGCTCAGATGCGTAGTTCTGTTGATCTTGGTGGACTCTCTTATGTGTCTGGGGTCAATTGCAAGTACATGGCTCTGCCTTGGGGGTTGGCTGGATATTATCTGTGGAGCCTATGAGATTGCTGTGTGTCTTTCACAATCTAGCCGGTCAGCCTGGGCTTGTTCGCATGGCAGCAGTACAGTTCTGAGTGAGAGAGAGAACGAAATTGTACAAGGTCTCTTGCAGCCTACGCTTGGAACAAGTGCATCATCACTTCTGCCACATTTAATTGGCCAAAGCAAGTAAAAAAAAGCCAGCCTAAATTTGAGGGGTGGGAAATTAGATTCTGCCTCTTGAATACAAAACCAAAAAAAAAAAAAAAAAAAAACCAAAACCATTGCCATCGAGTTGATTCCAACTCATATCAACCCTATAGGACAGAGTAGAATTGCCCCATAGGGTTTCCAAGGAGTGGCTGGTAGATTCGAACTGATGACCTTTCAGTTAGCAGCTGAACTCTTAACCACTGTGCCACAGGGCTCCTTTTGATTATAAGAGGATGTGAATTATAACAGCAGTCTGAATACCCAGAAGAAATAATTGTGGCCAGTTCTACAAACAATCTACACACCACAGATGGAATTAGTGCTCAACTGTGGGATTACTTTTCCTAGGAATTGTTCAGACATTGAAACCTGTATCTCCAGGTTTCTCTTCATTGAATTTTTAAAAATAGGCCTTCCAGGGCCAGGTTTAAGGCTGGAAACCTTAATCAGAGTTTCATTAGAGCTTTGCCAATGATATTTAGATGTTTAGATAGTTGTAATATCCTTTTTCTGTTTGTATAATTTCTTATTTATTCTACTTTGGCAGTCTTGATAATAAGCCTATGAATATTTTTCTAAGCCTCATATTAAAAGCAAAAAAATCTTTCCCTTCAAAGGGCGTTGAAATTAGGTAGGTATATGTTTACTATTGTATGTTATCCACAGAGTTACCTTCTAGAAGTTTGTTTAATGATAAACTAGATGTTATTGTCTAAATGTTGAATTCCTCTAATCTGGATTTTACTGCTTTCATAACACTTCTGGAATATTTCTGAATTTGATCGTGCAGACTGTTTTATAAACAAGGACCTTCACTATAGCTGTTTGAGATCAGTAAACCACTTGGTTTCCATGACCAAGTTCTTTTCATCTTTTGCACTTGATGACATGACCAGAAGGGAGGGAGTTGAGATTCAATTTTATAAATCTGTATGGTACATCTTTTTTTGTACAAAACATTATTTTGTGCTTTTGGAGAATAAAAATCAAAAAGATCTCTGCCCTAAATTTAGTGGAAGAGACAAAAAACTCCTTTGCATGATATAACAAATGCCCAGACAAGGTGCTGTGGAGATGTAAGTGAGGGAAATATAGATATTAATTAAGAGGGAGAACATGGGAAGATATTGATGGAAGTGATATTTGAACAGGACCATGTAAGTCCAGTAGAACTTTCAACTCTAGGCATCATTTAGCCTGCAAGTGTGCATTGTTTGGCTAGAATAATGTTTTAAAATTTTGAATTTGAATGCCTTTAGATGGAGTATGTGCTTTCCAAGGTCCCAGCTGGTCTCTGTTGTCTTACATCATTGTTAGTGTCATTCCTTTAGTTTTTCTACTTGTTCTCTTAGTTATCTAGTGCTGCTATAACAGAAATGCCACAAGTGGAGGGCTTTAACAAAGAGAAGTTTATTTCCTCACAGCAAAGTAGGTTAAAAGTCCAAAATCAGGGCGCAGCTCCAGGGGAAGTCTTTCTCTGTTGGCTCTGGAGGGAAGGTCCTTGTTATCAGTCTTCCCTTGGTCTGGGAGCTTCTCTGCACAGGAATCTCAGGTCCAAAGGGCACGCTCTGCTCCTGGCACTGCTTTCTTGGTGGTATGAGG